TTAAATATATTTTTCCTTTCATGGCATGTTATGGTTCAGTGAACGCCTTGCTTTATTCACTTTTGCGATCTTAACATGTTGGATGAACTTCTTTTTATGATAAAACGGCTGGTCCCTGATGAATCTTTACCCGGTACAGTGGAAAAACCTTAGATCAATAAATTAAGTTTATGTGACATTTTTACACACGAACATTGTTCTCCCTGCAGTGTTTATCTTTCCTGCCGTTTCTGTAACACATACTTGCTGTGCGTTTCTTCAAATACAACAACTTAAGCACAACTGTAAGCCACCTAATGAGTTGTTTTGCGGGAAAAACTGAATACACTGCTCAGGACAACATCTTTAGTGAGACGTGCGATACAAAGCATGTGTATGTGGACTATTTGTTTTCTGCGTCCCGGTGGTTCTTGTATAAAAATCAGTTAAAATTAGCCCTGCAGTGTTTTTTTTTTCCTCAACATGGTAGTCGTGCAAAAAAAAAAACAATTCTACAACTTTTGAAAGCTGAGTGATATTTCCAAGCAAAAGAGAAAAATGATGATTCCATCCTCCCCAGCCCTTCGCTTAGACGACGCCACAGAGCAAAGGACGCGCCGCATTGGCTTGTGCCCCCGCGACCAGCGCAGCTGTCCGTCTCTTCATTGGTTCCCATTGCTGTCACTCAGCCATGATCCCGCCTCCCACGGGCAGCTGGCTTGCCCATTGGCGAAGCGGCCCGTCCATCACCGGGCCCACGGGACGGGTCAGGTTTCCGAGCTTGGTCTTCGGGGAGAGGCGAAAAGAAGTGCTGTAACTGGAGTCGGACGAAGCAATGTTTCAAAAATTCAGGCACACACCAGACTGAGAGGGCAGAAGCAGGAAGGGTGTTCAGCCAGACGGGGTTTTTTTACTACGACAAGGCAGCCTTGGAAGTGGGAGCTCGCAAGGCTTTTGCGGAGAGGCGCAGAGGCACCTGAGAGGCGTCACGCAGAAAACGGGAGGAACTTGAGTGATCCGCCAGACGTAGTTTAAACGAGAAAATAAATAAACGCGGGGGAGGGGGGGGACAAAAAAACCCACAAATAACTCCAGGAGGGATTGTTTTCAGAGCTCGACGTGAGGTCCTCCTCTGGCCAAAGACAGAGGAGAAGCGGTTTTGCCGACGGGTCCGCGCAGTTCGCACTGCGCTGTCAAGATTATTGGGGAAGGAAACTGCACGGCGTTTGCTGCCGCCGATCCCCTCCTTTCCCTGCACTTCACGTCGCCGCTTCTCTCTCTCGGTTTGCGTCTTCCTCCCCGAGGAGCAGTCCGCGAAGAAGCGGCTTGCATGGCGAGGGTCGAGAGGCTCTGCGTTGGTGTTGTGACACGGGACTGAAATGAGGCCCGACCCCCAAGGCCTCTGTACTTAGTGCAACTGCATGAACATCCAAGGTACGAGACAGGACCGGCTCACTCTTGCGTTTTCCCCGTCTGTAGCCCGGGGATAGTGTTTTATTGATGCACTGTTTTCACTGCTCCACGAGCACCAACAGTTACTTGGTGCCCATTCTTTGTATTTTTATTATT